GTTAATAGTAGTGATGCACTTGTTCCTAGTAGCTTCTTGTTACTACTAGTAAGGCAGTTGTTAATAGTAGTGATGCACTTGTTCCTAGTAGCTTCTTGTTACTACTAGTAAGGCACTTGTTACTAGAAAGGGCGAAAAAGAACTGCTCTTTTGCAGAAGCGGCTTCTCGAATCGTGCGGGCTCGGACACTTCAAAACCGCTTCGAATGAAGTCGGGTGTTTTAAAACGACCCGTTTTGGTCAGGAAAGGTGGAAAAAGGGTTAAGACTCTTAAGTGGCCGATCCTAAGTGCCTTTCTTTGTTCTCTCCGACTCTTTTGAGATGTCCAGTTTTGCCAGTCGCCACTTTGACAGGATGACACCGTCCGCACGAAAGAGGGTTTGGATGATGCTGCTGGTGTCGCTGTTGTCTTCGATGAAGATGACGAAGATGAGGTCAAGGGCACTCCACTCGAAACGAGTTTTTTCTGTCAGGTATGCTGCGTGTTTGTTCTTGAAACAGATGATGACCGTTCGAAGGGTGGGGACTACATGCATGAACTTGGAGAAGACGATGAAGATGACGATGATGACGAAGGTGGAAAAATGGACGATGATAGGCAGGGCCTGGAAGTTGGAAGATTTCAATGCATTCTTGCATTTTGTTTCCGTGCTCAATTTTGTTGCCTGCAGGGATGATCGAGGGATTCATGCAACCTTATTGGAAGCGGATGACGAAGAGGAAACAACCGTCAGTGGACGAAAATGTGCAACGCTGTGCAACGCTGCAACGGATCTTGTGCGTTTGAAACTTTTTAGTTTTCAGTGCGAAAGAACAAAAACAGGAGGAAGCGAAGAAGGAGGACAAGTACAACGTTGACATCCAGAAAATCGATGCGCACTGGCCTTCCAGACATGTTATCTTCAATCAGAAGACTATCAAATAGGAAGCACACATTCACTTTAGGATCAAATTCAATTGTAGATTTAAGGTACCAAGGCAGGGATAGGACGCGAAGAGGAGGTAAGTGTGCTCAAGTCGGATGCTAGTAGCAAAGGGAGTAGTGATCGAACATTTCTAGTATCTTGGGTGCAGAGCCCTCGCTTGGACTTGGTTTCTAGGTTTGTGGAGAAACAACTCATTTTGGTTTTAATTGGATTCTAAGCTTAATTCTAATTTATTGTTTCTACTAGCAAACATTGTTCCTAGTGCCCTTGTTACTAGAAGCGAGGCCCTTTGCTACTAGTAGCGAGGCCCTTTCTGCCTCTACCTGAAGTTCCGATCGTTCGCCGCAGCGTTTCTCGACAGGCTGCAACGAGAATTGGGCAAGATTTTCCAGGAAAGGTGTAGAGATTTTCTTGTGCTTTTAGAAACAAGTGCCACGCTAGTAGTAACAGGTGCCTTACTAGTAGTAACAAGAAGCTTTTAGAAACAAGTGCCACGCTAGTAGTAATTTTTGGCTAGTTTTTTCGGGGTTGAAATCGACAAGTCAAAGCAACATGTTTCTTTTTTCTCATGTCGAACTGGTGCAGGATCCCAACAAGTGCATTGCAACTGAGAAGGAGATCTTGTCAATTCTGCCAATCAAAGACCTGCAACAGTGCGAGAACAGGTTCGTGGACTCATGTGATAACGTTCATTTAATGTTTTTTCCTCATGAACAAACACTTGAGCTTACTGTTCATTCCAGTTCATTCCCGCTCAGCCTTGTCATTCTCAGGTTGGTGCAAGTGTTGCAGTATGAGAACTTTGAATTTACCAAGCTTTTGCTGAAGAACCGATTGAAGATTCTGTGCGCAGCAGTTCTTTTTTTACTTTTTTGTTTTTAAACATTTTCTTTTTTTTTGATTTAAAATGTTTTCAGTTTTTTGCTTTTCCCCAATCTTTTCGTTGTCGAGGTATTGTACCCGCTTGGGTCAGGCACAGACGGAAGAAGACAAGACAGCCGTCTTGGAAGACATGCGCAACACCCCGGAAGCTCAAGCGGTTCTAGAGGCCAGAAAGAGCGGGAGAAAAATTAAAGAATAGATTATTTTTTTAATCGGTTTTGTAAAAGAAGAAGGAAGAAAGAGGACATAACCACGAACTTTACAAAACATTCCGACTTACTTACTTGTGACGCCCCCCCCCACGCTGACAATCCTAGCCTGACACTTGTTTTGGTCTACTCTCTTGACTCTCCAACACTCTCCCTTGACACCCTTGACAGTCCCAATTTTCCAAAAAAGAAAGAGAGATCATGAAATAGAGAATAGATTTTAATACCAAACAAGTTCAAGTGTACATGAGGATGTGCATGTCATTTTCACTGACCACAGCCCTTTGCTTTCAAGCTAACATAAGGGGTCCGTCTGTGCATAGGGTCACCCGTACCCATAAGACCAGGTGACAAAGGCCCTGGCAAGGCTGATGGCCTTCAATGAGAAGGAGAGCCTTGAATACCGCCATGAGCGCAGAGACAGGCAATGGCTTCCATGCTTCGAGATTGCTACGCAATGCGTGTGGGCCCAAGATCGGAGGGAGGGCAATTTTCTGTTGATGGGAGTCATCAGCGCCAGTTGGCAGCAAGGCTAAGAGACATGGTTCATGGACAATTTTGGATGAGTGGGATTTCTGATGACAATGTGAAAAGAAGATGCCCCCATGCCCATGGACCTTGGACAACCTGCGCCATGGATGGTGGAAGAAGGGCAGAAGAGAGGGAGCAGTAGTGGAAAGGCAACGACCACGACTCAAGAAGGGAGCAAGGAAAGAAAAGTGCCAAAAGAAAAACTTTGAAGGGGAGGACAACTACTGCGGCAAATATGGCCTGCAGGCAACCAAAAGGTTTGCTCAGGTCGGAACCACAGGAGCAGTCGATGCCAGCAGTGTGATGATCAGGGGGCCTTCGTATAACGATGATGAAGACACTGAGTGTGAACAGAAGTGTGCCATATGCAGAATGTTGTAGACTCACATGACCGATGTACTTTTGGCTCATGTGAAAAGAAGTGCGCGTACCACTACCAGACATTTGTTTGCTCGAGCTTTCACGGACGAGCTGGTGACGATGGCTATTCTTCGAGAACAAATTTCCTTCGCGCGCGCTCTCGGACATGTAGGTGCTGAATTGACGGACGAGGTCATTGGAGAGAGGGCCTCTGGAGCTAATGAACCCTCGAGATGTCCGGGTCATAATCTGTTTTCCGGGACAGATTGAACCAGGAAGAAAACATTCAGGATTTGAGGACAGAAAGCCACAAACCGTGAGCTGAAGGAGAAATTTGTCAACAGACCGTCCAGAATGGCCACAGATTTGAGTTGTCGATCCACCTTTTTTTTGCGATAATGCGCCTGAACAAAAGGCCAGGGAGTTTTAGCAAGAGATGTTTCATGCAGCCATAATCAACTTGTCTGAAGACACAGAGAGGCTCTGAGAACGCGAGCGGCACTCTGATGCAGCCAATGATCTTGCAGAAGAGATCGATCAGAAAAAATGACGAGAACTACATTACAACAGATTGAACTTTCTGAGGCACATGCTTCATCTTCAAAGAGCCAATGGACCAATGGATAGTCCCAACCTGGTCCGTTTTGTGGATTTAGCAAAGCTTGAACTTTCGATGATTGGAGATGAGAGGGAGGAGGAAAGGACGAAGTTCACGTGGCAGGAATGAATGGTATGACATTGTCACCGATGAATCCAATGAGGGAAAGGCCGCCTAGATGGGCATGAAAGATGAGCCATACAAGACAGAACTGGAGTGCTCGGGAGAAGTGACCATGTGGCAGCCGCGCCCAGAACCCCACAGGTGCAGACGCGACCTGTGCTACGCGACAACCAGTTTCTTGGAGGGCTACACCCCTAACAACTGCTCCCCAAAGGGGCGCACTGCTAGTCTACAATGATGGGCCTGTTTGCGTATGGCACCCCGCTGCCACAAACTAGCCCAAAAAAAAAACGAGAACGAACAAAGAACTAGAACCAAAGCGCTTTTTGGGACACGAATTGGGAAACAAAATGCGCAGTTTCGGAGTTTCGGAGCGGAGTTTCGCAGGAGTTGGACAAAGCCTCAAAGAAGCGAGATCGAGAGCGCGATATCAACAGGAGACGAGTTGGACGAGTCGGATGCTTTTCCTTTTTAAACATAAAGACAAAGCCGCGAAGAGTAGGCTGTGAGGAGGCGGGCAAGTAGCCAAAGTATGAAGAGGGTTAGTTAAGTTAACAAGTAGTGTCCTGTGGCTACGGTTCAGTCTTCAAACAAACTCTCCCCAGTTGAGGGCAAGGGGGCCTTCATGAATAGGTTCTTTGTTTATTTGCTGATTCAAATTTGTTCCACGCCTGAGAAATATTGAAGCATCCCTAATGGTCATCTCTTCATTACAAAAATGATTCAGACACCACAAAAGAGTTGTCCTGTCATTGTTGGTCACCAGGGACTTGCGCAAAGAGGTTCGCCAGCTTCAGTTGCGAGGTGCGGCCGCTCCAAGTTGTTACTATTGAAGGAAGAAAAGAACCCATGGAAACGCAATTAATAACAATATATGGTTCGTCAATTTCCTTGGTTGTGGACCGTGACAGCCACCCGTGCGCCTAGGGCCCATATCCAAATGTTTATGCCTTCTGCCACTCAAATCGCCCTAGTCACCTTAGCCCTTCCACCACTGACTGGTGCCATGATGGGTCGATCGTTGAGGGAAGGGGCCGAGAAAACTAACCCATTTCACACAACGCCTATCTTTCAAAAGTCCAAATGTTTCAAAGTTGTTTCTCTCCTTGTTGACCCAAACTAGGCAGTCTCTTCTATTTTCCCGAACCTTTAGTGCAAAGGTCTCATCAAAAGGCTCCCAGCCAGTTCGCGTGTGTCGTTTTGCTAAGAGGTACTCGCTAGCCCCCCACACAATGAACATGGTAAAAGATATCGTTTTTATTGCGCCTTTTGGTTGTAACATTCATAGTTGAGGGACTTGAGCTATTGAATAGAAAACATAATGGACATTTTGTACGGTTTTTACTGTGTGGAGATTGGCAAAGCTCTGGTCTTCAGTCAGTTGGACTAATTTTGTACGGTTTTACAATGTTCTACCGAAGTGCTTTAGGGGAACACTTCACTAAACCAGCGCGGTATAAACGGTGAAGAAGTGTGCCTTCGGCTTTGGTGAGCAAATCCTGTGATGTACATCGACTGAGTCAAGGAAAAGACTTGCTCGCTAGTAGGTTGGAGGCCAGGCCAGAGGCCATCGCTTCTAGGTGGGGCAGAGTTACCTTTTCTCTAACTTTTTTGATGAGACCCTTCAGGGTTGGAAAAACTTCGCGGAGAACCCGCGCAGCCCATCGCTTCGTTTATCCCGGTTCGGTTCTTGACAGATTTCGAGCCCCGGACACGAAAGGCGATCTTCGAAGACAAAAGCGAATCGATCAACGGACAAGATCGTAGAGAAAAGAAATAGACCACTTTCTTTCGGAACTTGAGAGAAAACGACTCACTTTGCAGACGCTCCTTCAGTGCGATCTCACCGGTCTCTCAGTTCTATGTTCCTAGGACCTTCCTAGGAGCTTCTGGTTCCCTCCTTAGGTCTCTTGCCGCATCGCAAGAGACTTTTCTCTTGCCGCTTCTCTCGGTTTCATTTCTCTTCTTTCTCTTCTGACCTTGTGCATTGCTGGAAAAAAGAGAGCCACATCTGAGAACGCAACGCGATGCAGAAACGCTTCTGTGCAGAGAGACACGTTTTTCAGTAGCTCTTTTTTTGAGCTTTAAAACTTCTCTAAGCAGAAACGTTTCTTTTGTTTTTTTCGATCTCCTTTTTTGCTCTTTCTAAAGGGCTCCACAGATCCTCTTTCAGGAGAGCCTTCAGCAGTTTTCAGTGCAAACCAATTAAAGGTTGCGCAAAACGATTTTAGCCTTTGTTCCTAGTAGTAATGCCAGGAGGTACTATTAGTACCAATGCCAGGAGCTACTAGTAACTAGCTACTAGTAGTAATGCCAGGAGCGACGAGCAGCTTCTTGCTACTAGTAGCAATGCCAGGAAATACTAGTAGCTTCTTGTTACTAGTAGTAATGCCAGGAAATATTAGTAGCTTTTTGCTAGTAGTAGCTGCTGCGCTTCTTGTTACTAGTAGTAGTCCAAGGAGCTACTAGTAGCCTCTTGTTAGTAGTAGTATTGCTAGGAGCCAATTAGTAGCTTCTTGTTACTACTAGTAAGGCACTTGTTACTAGAAGCGATGCACTTGTTCCTAGTAGCTTATTGTTTCTAAGCAGCGACCAAGTTTCTATCGAAGTAGGGAGGGGGGGCAGAGGTCGGCCCCTTTCCCCGAGTGCCGCAGAAAGTCTCTCTTCCGTGGCCGCCATGCATCCAATAACGAGGAAACAAGCACTCAGACCCCTGCGTAAGGATGACAAGCACACATGAAATCACGTGAACCGAAGGCCCGCTTTGCAGCATCAAAAGATCCGCGTGGTAGCGGAGCCAAGGATCGTCATTCCTCTGGTCTGACGCGAGGCTCCAGGAACTTGGCTGCCAGGCCACGGCCGTTTCCTCGCGAGGCGCTGGTGCCATGGAACGGCCAATCAGCGCCAGAGGCTCCCTGGAGGAAAAGATCGGCAATCAGCGCGAGAGGCCCCTGGAGGTGGTTTGCTTGGAGGAGCTCGAGGGTACCTACTTGAGCGTGGAGGTGAGCCTCAGGACTTTGAGAACATCGAGCCCTACGATGGCTGGGCAAGAAGGAGGACCTGTATGAAAGGAGACCAGAAAGGTGGTAAGCGTGGCGGCAAGAGCAAAGGGCAGCAGAAGGGCCAAGACCATGGAGGTGGTGGTAAGGGCCAGCAGAAAGGCGCATGGAAGCTAGAGGGTGGCAAAGGCTTGGGGAAGGGGTTTGACAGCCAGTGAAGGAGTGCTTCGTGTGCGGCAAGCCAGGGCATTTGGCCCGTGACTGCTGGAGAAAGGTGAAACAGGTGACAGACAGTCAAGGCTTACCCAGTGATACTGCCACTGCGGTCACGACAAGTTCAAGCCAGGCAACAACTACAAGACAACCTGGCATCAAGTGCATCGAGTTCGTGGAGGAGGAAGTCTCACAAGTTTCACAGGAATCCAGTAATGTGATGATCTTCGACCTGAGGCCAAACACAGGTGAAGGAGCTGTTCGAGCGATCAAGTTCTATCACCTGGCGGCTGAGGATCAGGAAGATGAGGCCAGCTCTGAAGGCGAACTGACCTACGGGGTTAGATTGGTGCAGGATGAGGAGGAAGAGCAGTACTTCGAGGACCATGACGGGCTCTGCCAAGTGATCGTGGACTCGGGGGCGGATGCTACAATCTTGCCTGCTTCCTACTTGCAGGCTGGCTCCGAGTTGTTGGAGCGAGCGCCACGACTTCAGGATGCTCAGGGAGAAAGAATCCCGATCAAGGGATACAAGAATGTCAGCTTTGTCTGCACGGCTGCAGATGGCCGGACAGTTCTCATCAGGGAGAAAGCGCACTTTGCTGAGGGAATCTCACAACCCATCATTTTCTATGGCAAGCTGATGGAAAGCGGCTGGGGCATCGATGGGTGCCACCATGCATTGGTCTTTGGAGCAGGACGTGGAGGAGAAGTCCGAATTCCGCTGAAGCTGCAAAACAAAAGTTTGGTGGCCGAGTGTCGTGTACGCGCCATCGGTGTGGAGGCCCACACATGGAGGAGGGCCTGAAGGCGCGGCTGTCAGACGACCTAGAGAAGAAGGCCAAGTTCCAAAGTGGTTGGAAACAGAGTGGGGAGATGTGGATTGGGGTGCACTTGGGCAAGCAGTACCAAAGTCCTCCTCAATCTATGGGAGCAATTTCTTCGACGACGCCATGGAAAAGGATTACTCTGATGAAGAGTGGGCGACAGTGGCATCTCATGGAGATGTGCGAGGACTTGCTCTCGATGAGAAACCAGGAGGAACCACTGGAGGGGGTGGAGGAGAATATCCTGGTGATGACGATCCTCACCAAAGAAGGCATGACAACAGAGCAGATGGGCTTTGAGGTCGGTGCAGAGATCATGCAGCCAGTGGAAGCTCAGGAAGGCAGAGAGAACGAGATTCCAATGGATGAGCCCAATCAACCTGAAGTACCTGATGAGGGCGTGAGAGAAAGGCTGGAAGACGGAGCAGAGCAAGAGGCCAGAAAGCGTCATTGTCAATGAGGTGGAGTTAAGACCTACCTCGAGGCTTCGAGAGTTGAGAGCGGCTTGCAACTTCTTCAGGATCAGTCAGTCAGGAAGCCGGATGAAATGTTTCCAGAGATTGGCGAGTCATGTACGTGAAGCTGAGTTGAAGGCCGCAGTCGAGGCAGTTGCAGCAGCGCAGATGCAGGAGGCTCGGGTGCCGAGAGGACAAAACCTCATTGCAGTGCCAAGCCCAGAAGAGCAAGAGAGACATTGCCTGACACACACACACACACACACCGTACGCACCATGGTGTGAAGCGTGCTTGGTAAACAGAGGTCGACCTGATAGGCGCCTACGCTCAGGAGCTTCCAGGGTAAGTGGCATCCCCATCATCAGCCTTGATTTCTGCTACACGAAGGCTGGAGCCGTTGACAGAAACCCGCAACCCCTGGATCGCGGAGAGATGGAGAGTGAGGACGCCATTGATCTCTTCGGAGAGGGAGAGCCACAAGATCATCGAGATGGTGAACCGCCGCCACTGCGAGAGGTGAAATCTGCAATCCCAGACAGGTGCATTGGGGGCAGTCCCGCTTCGAGGAAAGGACCAAGTTCATTTGATGGCGAGAGAAGTGATGACCTTCATCCAAGGACTTGGACATATGGAGGTGGGCATTTACAGTGACAATGAGCCGACTTTGAGAGCGCTGTTGAGGATTATCCTGAACAGCAGACATGCCATGGGCCTAAGGACCAGGATCTACACCACGAAGGTGAAGGACTCAGCTGGAAACTCTTTGGCAGAGAATGCAATCCAGAAGGTTAGGGGTTTAGCTTGCACCATGATGGAAGATCTGATGAGCCGCGCGGGCTTGAAGCTGAACACAAACCATGGGTTGTGGAGTTGGGCAGCCCGGCATGCCTGTTGGACACTCAACAGGTTCCAAGCTTCAAGAGGAGTTACGAGCTTCGAATTGGCGCAGGGAAAGCCCTACGAGGGAGTTCTTGTTCCTTTTGGGTGCCCGGTCTACGCCTACAGCAAACCTCAATCTGGCAAGGGAAACCCTATGTGGAGGCTAGCGCTTTTCCTTGGCAAAACAGAAGCACAAGATGCATACATTGTTGGTGATGGGACCCAGGTGATGCTGACTCGTTTGGTGAGGAGACTCAACAGGCCATGGAGCAAGTATTTGGCCTACTACTCGAACATCGGGACGCAAAGTTGGGAGTACCAGGTCAACTTTGGAGGGAGAGTTGTTCCATCCAAACGAGCAGCTGGACCATTGCCAATTCAGGTGCCGATGAAAGCGCTTCCAGATGGAGTCTTGTTAAGCATCGGGACG